GTCTGGGCCTCAGATAGTTGCTGAGAAACGAGCAGTTGTGAATATAAACCAAGATGAGGATGGTGTGGTGTTAGGTCACGTCTGCAAAGCAAGCGCCTGAGAAGTGGGGGGAGGTTTGGCCAGTGACTCAAGGTGAGGGGCTGTTCATGGAGACACACTGGCTGTATGAGCTGTCACCCTCCCTAGGAGGAAGGTGGAATGAAGTTCAGTGTCTCTTCTGCTGAGCAACTGCTTTTCTTTTTTTGTCTTTTCGGGGAAAGAGGCATCTTCACTTCCTCCTGTTATTTTCCTGAGGTGGTTATTTACCCAATGAGCTGCACTGACCTCTTTCTAATGGAAAACTTAAGGCTGTTTCCTGGACACCCTTCCTGAGGGATCTACGCGAGCACTGAGCCCAAAGTCTCCTCTCTATGCAGGTTTTCCCCAAGAGTCATGTTGTCAGTGCACTCAAGACCATCTTTGAGAAGAACGTCATGAGCTTTGCTGGTGGCACCATGGGAGCGGTGAATGGCATGAGACCTGAGGGGGTGCCTGACACCTCCAGCGTGCAGTCCAACGAGGTGTGGATCGGCGTGGTCTATGCCTTGGCTGCCACCATGATCCAGGAGGTGAGTGGTAATGCTGGACCCCTCAGCATGGGCCAGATCCTTGCACTCCATCAATGGGCTGACGGTTGTCTTCCCTCTTCTGCAGGGGCTGGTGGAGGAAGGCTTTCGTACAGCGGAGGGCTGCTACCGGACAGTTTGGGAACGGCTGGGCATGGCTTTCCAGACACCGGAGGCCTACCGGGAGAAGAAAGTCTACCGCTCGCTGGCTTACATGCGGCCCCTTAGCATCTGGAGCATGCAGCTGGCCCTGGAGCGCAGAGCTGGCCAGGCAGCAGCACCTCTGCAGCCTTCCCAGGTCCCCATCCACCCTTGAGCCTGGTGGCATGGAGCAGGGCAGCAGGTGTATGGGGGGGGCCTCAGCTGGTGGGCAGGGACCCTTCTGTCCCCCTGTCTGGTAATACTCACATTGCTGTTTTCCTTCCCTACCTCCACTACATGCCCTTGACCTCAGGGGGCTTCCAGCCACTGATGCTGAGCACGATGGGGGATCAGAGGTGCAGGGGATGTCTCCTCAGAGAGGAGAGGGGTGGGATAAGGAGGCACTGCTGGAGCCTGTGCCTCCCCTTCCCCGTTGCTCAGGGCTTTGACAGCCTGCAAGACCCCTGGCCATCTTCCACCAGAGCTGGTACCTTGCCCAGGAGCACAGGAGGCCTCTCTCCTGCAGTCAGTGGGCTGGTTAAGGTGGGAGCTGGCCTGCAGGGAGGAGAAAAAAGATGTGTGGGTGTGTGTGAGGATGCTGAACTGGTGCATGCAGGCATGTGGATGCTGTAGTTGTCCCTCTGTTGTGTGACACTGCAAACACAGACTGGGTCTCCCCCACGGCACCAGCCCAGGAGAGCCTGTGGCAGATACAATTCCCAGGGGAGCCCCAGTTCCCCAGCCCGTGACAATCGGAGCCCAAGCAGCAGGTCCTGGTCTGGTACTGTGGCACCCTTCCCTGCTGGCGCTGGGTCAGGCAGCGGAACACGTTTTAGGGGATCAATCATTTTAAGTTCTTAATAAATTTGTCCAGCTGTCTCTTTCTTGTGTGTCTTCTCTGCCACGTGGGCAAGCTGGGAGAGCGAGATCTCTTGCTCCCCCTTTTGTTCCGGGGCTGGGATGGAGGGCAGGCAGGCCTTTGTGGGGTTTTGCTAAGGGGACCAAGATGTGCCTTCCCCCAAGATGCAGTGGCAGGAGAGACCAGCCACTTGCGCTGTCCTTTGCAGCCGGGAAGGCAAGGAGCCTAGTATTCCTCCTGACGATGCTGATGTGGAGAGCAGTAGTGCCTGAGGGCTGCCCCTTGACTGAATTGTGTCACCTCCTGCCCGGGCTGGCCACCTTACTTCCTTTTCCTCTTCCCTCTGCCAGCGCAGCAATTTAAGGCTGCACCCGCCTGGTTTCAGGGACGGGCAGCCCCTGGGCGTGGGAGGTGGCCCTGCCCCAGCTTTGCCTGTCACCTCTTTTGCCTGCTTTAGTTGCTCCCTGCCCCTCAGAGCCACCAGCGCTGCTTGCTCTGAAGCCCTCCCCTAGTCCTGAAGCACCTCAGGGCTGGGGTGGGAAGCGGGCTGTCCTCACTGTGTCGGTGCCCCCAGCCCTCGCCTGCCCGGGCAGCTGGTGCAGGCAGGCCAGGGCAGCAGTGGCCCGGTGCTGCCAGTGGCTGATAAATGGCCTTTTCTTCTCTCCCCGGGGGAGCGTTCCTGCGTCCGCCTGGGCAGAGGAACGGTGCCACCCAGGAAGGGCAGGTTGTCCCAGATGCGGTCCCCCTGCACCAGCTAGTGTTGCCCTCGCATGGCAGAGCCCGCAGCCGATGGGAGGACTGAGATGCTCTGCCTCGGGGTCAGCATGGCGATGCTGGAGGGGGACCAGGGAGCCAGGACATCAGCGCAGCTCACCTGGGCTCCCTGCCTCCATCTGTCTTGAGTTGGCAGCTACCAGGGATGGTGATGTCCCGATCCAGCTGGCAAGGGACAAAAGCAGGTACCAAAGCCAGCACAACTTCTGACCGGGCTGGGTTTTATTGGTGAGACCCATCAGCACCACTCCTCAGCTCTGCACGAGAGGCTGCCTGTGGACTTTCCTTCAAAGGCTGGGGCATTCATTGAGGGACATTTCTGCTCTTTCATCCGTATTTCTCTTCCAGTTGAAAGAGGAGGAAAGAGCAGAAACATCACCTCGATAAAACTCGTATCTGACAGGCTCAGCTTTCAGCAACTTTTGTGTGGGCATGGTGGTGGGGTGTGGGCTGGGAGGATGTTGTGGTTTAACCCCAGCCGACACCTAAGCACCACACAGCCGCTTGCTCACTCCCCCGATGGGATGGGAGGGAGAACTGGAAGGGTAAAAGTAAGGAAGCTCATGCTTTGAGATAAAGACAGTTTAATAGTTAAAGGAGGAGCCACGCAAATAAGCAAAGCAAACCGAAGAATTCGTTCACTCCTTCCCGTCGGCAGGCAGGAGTTCAGCCATCCCAGGAAAGCAGGGCTCCATCGCACGTAAGGGTTACTTGGGAAGACAAACGCCATTACTCCAAATGTATCCCCCTTCCTTCTTCTTCCCCCAGCTTTATAGGCTGAGCATGATGTTGTACGGTATGGAACAACCCTGTGGTCAGCTGGGGTCGGCTGTCCCGGCTGTGCCCCCTCCCTGCCCCTCATGCACCCCCAGCCCACTCACTGGTGGGGCGGTGGGAGAGGCCTTGGCTCCATGTAAGCACTTCTCAGCAGTAACTAAAACACCCCTGTGTTTCCAGCAGAAATCCAACACATAATCCTATACCAGCTACTGTGAAGACAATTAACTGTACCGCAGACAAAACGAACAGAGGACAATCCTTGGTTACGGATGCCACTTTCCCTAACATTTGCCTGTCCTACTGTTTTCTCAAGGCTCCCTCAATCACAGTTTGAGCAGCAAGTTTGAGTATTCATTAACCCTTTCCTGTTATTACTCATTAATGCTTTCTTGACCCCTCACATACACGGGTTTAAACTCCAGCCCTGTTGACTTTTAACTTCTTCAGCACTTTCTGCTTCGGACTTCTTCCCTTGTCTGCCCGCTCCCCCTGGCCCACTGCCTGCGGCGCCAGGGCTCGGGCTTGATATGGCAGGATTTAGCTGTGGTAATGATTGCCAGCCCTGAGCCGCTTCGCTGGCTGCCTGCTGGAGGCTGCAGGCTCCGCAGTGACACCCCAGCTCTTGCCTTGTTTTACTTTTGACTCAGCTGAGACTGCTCAACATATCCACCTCCCTGCACCTGCAAGATCCGCTGCTGGGCTGGGGATTGTTAAGCACAGGAAAAATAAAGGTTATGGGCGGGCAGCACCAACCCTCTTTCTGTGATGCTAAAATAAAGGTGTGGTCGTAAATGGGCTGTGGGTTGCCGTCAGCAGCGGTGTCAGCATGGAGACCTTGTATTGCCCATCCCAGTGCCCACCAGTAGCCGCAGAGTCCCTGTGGGAACTCCCTGAACCAAGGGGATGGCGAGGTGGCGGTGGCAAGATGGTGGTGGTGATGGAGAAGGAGTGATGGCTCCTACTCCTGCAGCCTTCTCAGAAGGACCATGCTCATTCTCATAAACCTTGGCCCTGCTCCAGGCAGCGCCTGCCTGCCAAAACACCAGCCAAAGCAAACAGCAGCTGCATGAAAAACATACCTTGTCATGCAGTTCTTTTCTAAGACAGAGGGAAGCAAACAGCGGGGCAGCGATGTCCCACGAGCAGCCAGCTCGCTGGCTGGGGACCTCCTGTGGGCAGGGGTGCAAGAGGGCTCTGGGGCTCCTGCAGACAGGAGAGGGGGACCTTGAGATGCCAGCAGCCAAAATGCAGTGCTCCCCACTTGGGTTGTGACAAATTTTACTGCTGGAGAGAAACCGGGGCTCAGTGTGAGACTAAAGAGAAAGCAAAAATTGGGAAGTATTTCTGAGATGTTGCAAAGAGTTGCCTTGTCTCCATTTTAAGAAAAAGAGCATTTTTTTGGTGAATAGGGCTCCATTATCTCTGGCTGTGATGACCGGGGAATCAAAACCCAGATATTTTAGGAGACTGCCTTGAAAATCCTTGAGGAATGGGTGAGAAAATCTGCTGTGAACAGAGCCACTTCAGCCTCCCCCATCAGCAGCAACTATAACGTGAAGGACATTATTAAAATTCTTTAAGAATCCTTGCACAAATACAGTTTTTGTCAGCATTAAAATGTGACGTCCAAGATATAAGAAGAATGTTTTTTTTTCATAAACAAAATAATTTCCTTCCAACAGAAGCCAGCTTGTAAAAACAGCAGCAAATCTTCATTCAGCAGCAGGCAAAAGGGGACCAGGGACTTTGCAGGCTGATTGGCAGCTGCTTCAATATCGGGGTGGGGGGGGGGGTGGGATAAAGCAAAGCCCCCAAAGGAGCCCGGTGCTGGGTGGGTTTGCATGACGACGGCTGCAGAGGTGGAGCAGGGTGAGGCTGTTTCCTGAAGCTGATCCTGGGGTTTTCCCCGGCTGACCATCGGTCCTGGCAGTCACTGGCCTTCGGGGGGCAGGGGCTCCCCCCGGGGGGCCCGGGCCACGGCGAGGTGCCAGGCAAGAGGGAGCGACGAGGGACCGTTTCAGCAGGCGCTTCGGGGAATATCTGCCTGCCACCACCCTCTCTTGTAGCTGGGAAATGCAAATTTGGAAACACCCAGATTGCACAACACCCTGCCTGGAGCTGCCACCTGCAGCCCTGGCAGCAACAAAAAGGCGAGAGAGCGGGCGCATCGGCAGAGCCCTGCGAGGAGCACAGCCCGGGTACGCCAGCTGTCTGCCCGCTGCAGCGATGGTGCAAGGGACTCCTGTGCTACGGCACCAACGCTCAGTCCCCTCCGCTCCAGTGCATGCTGACCGGGCACTGGACAAATGACCTGGGCTCCAACATGACCATCGGGGCTCTGAACAGAAAAGGTGAATTTGCCGGATCCTACCACACGGCCGTGACTGCCACCACAAATGCGATCCAGGAGTCACCGCTGCAGGGGGCCCAAGACCGCACAAACCAGAAGAACCAGCCCACCTTTGGCTTCACCGTCAACTGGAAATTTTCAGGTGCTTCTCCTTTGCCATCTTCCCTGTGGAGTCACCAATGGTCCACTGACCTCCCTGTGAAGCCCTTCACAACCCCGTACCTTCCCTTGTGGCATCCCTGGTGCTACCCCATCCTTCACCCTGGGGCTCCTTGGCCGGTGCCACCTCCCAGTCCCAGGGTGCAGACGATGTGCTGGGCGCTGGGGTCTGAAGCTCCACATGAAGCCCCCAGCCCTCTGACCCCTCCTACCTGCTTTCCTCATCACTGCTGTCCCCAGAGGGCAGGGACAGCCTGGGTCTATTGTCCCCTGCGCTGGGGCAGGCTGCAGGGCCACAGCTCAGCACTGCTCTGACACCCCGGCCATGCTCTCCTTCACCTCCCACCCTGTACCCGCAGACTCCATCACTGTCTTCACGGGCCAGTGCTTCGTGGACAAGGAGGGAAAGGAGGTTCTGAAGACCATGTGGCTCCTGCGGTCACATGTGGACAGCATCCAGGATGACTGGAAAGCTACC